AATCGGCCTCCTCAGCCACACTAGACGCTGTTCCAAGTCCTCCATACAGAGCACGGTACCATAATCTTTTGAGACTGAAGGATGCCTAAATAACTATTATTACTGATAACAGTATAGAGTAAATTCTGCATTTCTGTCTTTGCTCTCTGTTTTTGAAGATTTCTGAAAACTTTCATTACATGGGATCATGGAACCATATTATTACTGATAACAGTATAGAGTAAATTCTGCATTTCTGTCTTTGCTCTCTGTTTTTGAAAACATCTGAAACTTTCATTACATGGGATCATGGAACCAGAGCATAAATGAGTTGGAAGGAGTCTATAAGGCCATCAAGTCCAATCCCCTGCTCAATGCAGGAATCCAAATAAAAAAGGAATCCAATTTTCATTTCTCCAATCTTTTCATTTCTTCAGTCCTTCCTCCCACCACTTTCCAAAATGGCTGAAATACCTGTCCAGCTCCAGTAGGCTTCCTTAGGACATTTAGCAGCTCAAAAGGAAACCAATTTATATTGTTTCTCTGGAAAGCTGATAAAAGAGGAGGAAAACAATTATCTGAATATCTAAACTTTTTGCCCCTTACCAGAAAAGCTTTTTTGGCCTCTGATATTTTTTGGCCTCTAAAATGCAAACACATCACTACAAGAATTGCATACATTTAAAACTATTAAAAAGGAGGAGAAACTAAGGAAAAAGAGGAGAGGAGCAGAAGAACAGGTTCAAAATATATAAGCTTTCAAAAACTGGATTAGGAAAAGCTACAGGACAAAAATCTTCCCATGCATAAAAAAAATGACTCATCCTTCTGAACCTGTTGGAAAGAAAGGCACATGTCTGTTCTCCTTACCACACACATGATATAAGAAAGGATGGCACCCGAGGAACCAATTAAAGCGCCCACAATCGTTAGCAGGTTGTTGTTGAGCAGGAATCCCTCAGCACAGAGCGCCCAGCCTGAGTAGCTGTTCAGGACAGTAATAACAACAGGCATGTCAGCCCCTCCTATGGCTGCTGTGAGAGTGACACCCTGTGGAATGGAAGAAAGACAATTATGGAGAGATTGCACTCTTCCATATGCAAATTCATTAGTCCAGATGTTTTCTGAATGGCTTCCGAAGCCCACAAACATATTCTTCTGTACTCTCTGCTTCTACAGAGGTGTATCAAATGTATTTAATGAATTAACAGTTACAGCACAAAAACACAACTATTTTCTTTACGCTACCCACAAAGCAACCCTGCATCCCTTTGCTTAGTTCTCAGACTACGTGGGGCTCTGAGACGTTGAAGGCAAATATTGAGGGTGGACGCTACAACCCTTGTCAGAGTCAAACTGGAGGAAGGCTGGAGGGCTGCTGTCAAAAACTCCTTTTACCCAGAGCAGCATTCCCTCCCTCTGTAGCTACAACGGCACACTCACCATAACAGCAGATAGAGCAGATACAGATCCTAAACAGGTCAGTCCAGTTGCGTAGCTAGGATCAATCATATAGGGAATCATTCCACCTACACTTGCAGCTAGCAAACTAGCATTCAGTAAGTGCCGTCCTGGTAGGAGCAGGGGAGCAGAATTCAAGATACCTGGAAACATAAAACAAAGTCATCTGAAACTCCAGAAATGACCGTAGATTCTAAAAGATCAGGAAGCCTGAAGCCCACCTATTGAATACCAAGACCTATCTCTATTTCCTTCTGCCTTCACTTCTCAACATGGATGTACTTTATGGCTGTTGTGGGTTTTTTGGGCTCTTTGGCTGTGTTCTGAAGGTTCTGAGCAACCTTCAGAACATGGCCAAAGAGCCTGAAAAACCCACAACAACCATTAGACCCCCGGCCGTGAAAGCCTTCACGAATACATGGATGTACTTTGCTGCTGAACCAGTATCAACTTGCTTCAAAAGAAAGCGGATGTAGATATTGCCGGACTCAACATTCTTTTCATATTAAAACATATACATATACATTTTATTCTCTGACCCCACTGGATACAAGGCAGGGGACTGAATCAGAAGCTCTAGAATAGGTCTCTTAAAAGCTTTTAGACAGGTGATAATTCTTTCAACCTTCAGTGTGAAATTGATGGGAATGAAAAAGAAGTTTGTTGAATTTTAAATTATCAGTAGACTATCCCTTCTGCTTCTCCCTAGATGTCCCAAGATACAAAATGCACTTTGCCACTGAAATATGCACATTTCACAAGGCATGTGGTACATTTCAGTATTATAAAACATGCACGTAACTATGCATACATTTTTGAGAATGTGAACAGCTAGAAATGTGCATGACTAGAAAATGTACACTTAATGAATGGAAAAATGTGTACAATTTTCACGTTTCGAAATATGAACGAAAATATTAAAAAGTGGAAGAAAGAATGTGCAGATTCCCTCATAAGAGAAAAAAACATCCTGCAACTGAAAAATGGGACAAGAACATAGGTGCAATTCAGAAACAAGTAAAGGAATTGAGACGGATTTTCACATCACTAGAAGTTATGCCTAAGGTAAACAAAACAAACACAGTAACTTCCACAGCTGGCAAGAAACATGGGATTTTTAGATTTCTGGAAATCATGTGGCATTAAAATCTACAGTTCACAGTTAATATCACAAATGCATGAAAAAGCTTCCTGTTCCAGTTTGAGTTGCATCATGCCAAACCTGTTCAGCAAAAAGGGCTCAATTCTCAATGCGGAGGAAAACCTCTGTCTGGGCTCTACCACATCAGAATATTACAAAGAGAGAAATTAGCTGAGCTCTATCTCTGTTGAGTACTTGTAGCAAATTTCATACATGAGAAAAATTGCACCTGTGTGAACTAGAGATGGGGATGAATCGCCATTTTGGCAATTTGTCCTGCTTTGTGATCTGTCAAAGTTGATGAAGCATGAAGCTTCCCCCCCCACCCCATGAACCGACGAAGCACAAATTTATTCATTGGTTCATGGGGGAGTTAGACAGCCAGAGGCTATCTTTAAAAAAAAAACCTAACCCCCCCCGCCGCCCCCCTACCTGCCATTGCCGTCCCCCAACGCCAGCGCCCCCCAGCACCCACCACCACCATGCCGCCATCACCACGGTCTCCAGCTGGCCTCCGCCACTATGGAATGTAGTAAGAGACACTGCCTGCCCTTTGCAAAGATGGCGGCTGCAACTTCTTTTAGGGCAGGGAAGCTGCAGCCGCCATCTTTGCAAAAGATTACCTTAAGGCAGGCAATGGATGATGGTGGTGCTGGTTGGGGGTGGATGGTGCCAGCGGCTAAGGGAGGGAGGGGAAGGGGGTGGGGAATAGGCTGTGAGGAGGGTGGCTTTGAGGCTGCCTGGCTGCCTATTGTCCTGCTGATCAGCTGATCGGCAGGCCTATAGGCAGAATGGGAAGTCCATAGGAAAAGAGGGATGGCTACCTCCCTCTAGCCTTCCTTTCATATTTGTTGGGGTGTCCGGAACTCATAAATACAAAGGGATGAATATTTAACAAATTGGTGATTATTTTTAATGAATATCATGATTCATTTTTTAATTCATCCCCGTATCTAGTCATGACGCAGAAGAGAAACACCACCATGGTACAAACTCAGACCCAGGTTTACCACCTGGAGGAGCAGAAGAAGAATGAATATAAAACCACTCCATACACACAGGCACACATACATACGTAAAGAAACTGAGTACTGTACATCTTTATCCAAAGAAGAGGGACAGAGAGTTACCCTGTAGCTTTCCATAAGCAACAAGGGAGCCACTGAAGGTAACACCACCAATATATGTGCCAAGATATGCCACAATCTTGGTGAGGTTTGCAGCTTCATCGGTGGCAAAGTGAGGGTACTCAATCATATATTCCGCAACGCAAGTGAGAACAGCAGCCAGGCCAACCAAGCTGTGGAAAGCAGCCACTAATTGAGGTAAATCTGAAATCTGGATACGTTTAGCAATTGTCAGGCCTGCAAAGACATAAAGAGGGAAATATTAGTCACAGTCATGTGTAGACTGCAGAATAACAGAGTTGTTCAGTAAAAGTCTAAGCTATAAACCAGAGACAGGGCAACATTTGGTGCTCTAGACACTGAAGGAATACAATTCCCATGATACCTCACCATGATACCTCACCACAATTCCCATGATACCTCACCATGATACCTCACCACTGAGTATCCTGGCTACAACTTATGGCAGCTGCAGTCTAACAACATCTGTATGACCATACAACTCTCCCCGTTATAAGGGATGCATTACCATAAACCTTCAACAGTATTACTACTCACTTGCGATCTCTGTAATTTGGAATAATCTAAGAACCAAGTGCTTAACACAACTGCCATAAAGCCACTTTATATACCTGTCATGGCTTTAGAGTTAGGCAACCTAAAAGCAGTCCACTTCCATGATGCAAGAGAGCCTGCTTTTATTCCTATTATTTCCTATTCTTGCTTTCAAACAAATTTATGAGAAAGATGACTGTTGCAGCCTAGTTCTTTAAGAACAGGTTAAATAAAGATTGCAACTATGGTCTGACAGATTTCCAAGCATGCACTTCAGTCCTGTACTATAGTCCCTTTCTATCTGCTACGGCAAAATCCCAAGGGTAACAGAGCCAAACAAGATTCCTGGATCTCTGGTCAATGGAACACCTCCACAGCCATCAGAAATAAGTTGTGAAGATAAAAGGAAGCATGAAAGTATTTTTTAAAAAAAAAAACTGGCATCACCTAGCATAAATTGCAATCAGACAGAGATAAATGACTAGAGTGTGCCCAGGGTTTTTCTAGTCCAGGTGATATTTTAGCACTGAACTCACCTATAGTGCCACCAACAGCCATTGCACCCGACATCTGTGCCAGCAGTTCAGGTGATGGTTTCAGACCTCCAAGGGTAGCTGCCAAGCCACCAGCAACACCTATCATGCCCAAAGCATTGCCAAGTCGAGCTGTTCCTTGGGTAGAAAGGCCAGCCAGAGCACCGACACAGCACAAGCCTGAACCCAGGTATATCATCTTAAAATAGAAGTGGAAATAATTACACATATATATTGTTTACAGAGCACCTAAAATTGCTATTAGCTATTTTTAAAAAATTAAGTGAGCAGACACTGCCTGCAGGCTTCAAATCTAAAGATAGTGGCCAAAGCAAGACATGTTATGAAGGAGAGAAAAGAGAAATTAGAATAAAATCAGAAGAGTTTGATTTATTACAAACTGGAAATGGTAGATTAAAAAAGCATCACAGTTTATGTTAAAAGAATGTACTTTGTAAATTTATATGAGCTTTACAAACTGTTTCAATATTTTTACATGACTAGATGTCATGTTTCTCATATTCTGGAAACGGATATGAACAGCCAGGCAGCTAGAGATCCCAATTTGTATTTTATGTATTTCAGCCTGCTTCCAAGAAACCACCCGGATGATGAGTTAATCCAAGACCACTCTCGCAGCCTCCTCTTGCATCCCAAAGATACCCTTGATTGCAAAACATCCTTTATTTTCATACAAATAACAGATTGGTAAAACTACCAGGAATGGCTGCTTTTCCCCTTCAGGTGATTGTCCCTGCTCTGAACAAGCTCCCCATAAGCAATCCATGAATTAGAGGGAAATTATAGTGCAAAGGTTTCCTTCACTATACCAGTCACAAGAAACAACCTCAACTCCTTCCAAGTCCCCCAGTACACAAAAAGTCAGAGCGCCACCTCCTGGGGACATTGAATGGACTTATTGGAGACCACAAATAAAGGCTTGTGAGAAAACCAAACCCAAAGTCCAAATAGGCATGTTTCCTCATGACTTCGGAGAAGAATTCAAGAACTCCTGCTCTGACAACATGTGCAAACTGTCTACACAACAGCAGACAGTCATATACATATAAGCAGAAAGCAGAACAAAGCATGCTGCTTATATACCACCCCATAGCTCTTAAAGCACTCTCTGTTTGTTTACAAGTTAATTGTGAAGGCTACACATTGCCCCCACCCTCCGCAAGCTGGATAATCATTTTACCAACCTTGGAAGGATGGAAGGATGAGTGAACCTTGAGCCAGCTATCTGGGATTGAACCATGGCTCATGAGCACAATTTTGGCTGCAGCACAGCAGTTTAACCATCGTGCTACGCAGCTCAAAATATTAAGTTTTGTAACTGGACTATGGCTCGTGAGCACAATTTTGACTGCAGCACAGCAGTTTAACCATCGTGCCACGCGGCTCAAAATATTAAGTTTTGTAACTGGACTCAAATGAGCCATACCATAGCAAATGCAGTAGCTAGAATAAGACTAGAGTAGCATAAATTCATACCGTGAACCAAACTGTGAGGAAAAAATGCACACCTTGAAGAAGAAGGAATTCCCAAACGAACACAGATTAAGGCTAGGAATTCAACCTCAAATTGTTGCACCAAAAGGCTCAGAAAGGCTGTAAACCTAGTGACCTTTTTACTGTCCTTTTACATTAAGTAGTATCCCGAATCCCTGAGATATCTTTTTACCTGTTCAACGTTGACACAAGAAGAACTGGTAAAGTGTCTTCAATAACTCTGCGTATTTTACTGTTGCCAAAACCCTAACACTTTTTACTGTCCTTTTACATTAAGTAGTATCCCGAATCCCTGAGATATCTTTTTACCTGTTCAACGTTGTACCCACTTTGGAGAGCAGCTCCATATCCCCCCACAAAGACACCAGCAGGTAACAGGTATAAGTAATTGTATTCAGGGGGGTCTGTAGGGCGCTTGAACATATCCAGCATCCTCTGTGTGACCAGGAAACCACCTTTCCCATAAGAGAGAAGACAAAAACCAAATTGAAGAACCGAGAGGAATCCAAAGGCATTATTAAAGGGGGAGTCCATTGTCCTATTCAAGTCTTATGCCTGAATCTATGGAAGGCTAAATGTGCAGTGGGGAGGAAAGGATATAATTGAATCTTACTAGGAGGTTGTCATTTGGATTATCTTTAATTTCACGTCCTAGAATTCTCCACTCTGGAATTCCACCAGACAAACCCATACCTACAGATACCTAGATGCGGCTCACCTGGGCAAATCAAAGCTGGGAGATTTCACGCTCTAGCTTCCTGTTCAATAAGGAAGTTGCCCCAGCCTGTGAGTGTGTTGAACTAGCAGGCAAAAATCCTGGGGTGGGGACATAGGGGATGGAGCCTATCTACATACTGCCATCCCAACTACTGTACCTGTTTAGCACTCCATATGTGAATCACACCTCTGCTGGAACAATCCCCCAGCAGGGAGGTGTTTAAACTCCCCTTGACCTGCAGAACAGGAAAAAAAAAACTGGCAACCCTACAAACCCATCACCCTTAAGGGGTACAGTAGGCTTCCCCTCCAGATGAAAGAGGCTTTTCCCCAAAGGAGAGGAAGAGGGCGAACACCCTGCTTCCCTGCCAGTGAGAACAATGCTGAGCAATGTGAAGGATTCAATGTGATATCCAAGGAGTGCTTGGCTCCAAGGAAAGTGTCTTTATGGCTACTGACTTCCTAGGGAGTGAGCAGGTTCATTAGGATTAGAGCTACACTTCAGGAGAGCTAAGGCTGAACAGCCTACACCTGAACCGTGTGCAAGGTCTCTGGAAGCTGCAGCATATAAGCCTTCCATCTAACAATCAAGCTCACTGCTGAGGGCAATCCTCTTCCTGAGTCCCCAACCTTGCTTACTATCCCATCTGTTCAATATTGTATCCTCTTGATACAACACATCCTTGCTGTATTCTCCTGCGTATAACTGTTGATCCTCTTGGAACATCTCTTGTAGTATTCCTGCTAGCTTTCCATTTGAACTGGACTGGTTAGACTTTGCACTGTCATTTGACACTAAATTTGGAACTCACTGCTTGGAACTGACTTGCTATCTGGCAGGACTTGGCTTGGCTTTGCTGACTCTACTGTGGCTGTGCCCTTCTGGACTGAAACTTGAGCTGCAGTAACAACTCTGAGCTTTATGTGCCTAGAAATACGAATGTGCACTTCAATTTAATAGCAATCAACGTCCTCTAGGAAGCATCTACTGTGCAAGGATATCATGAAAGAAAAGGGGAGTTTAATTAGGAAAACCTGTTGAGGCACTGGTTGCATTCACAGTATATTAGTGATGCAAACTATGGAGTAACACAGGTACCAAGAGGCCTGCAGCCTGAATCTCTTTGAAAACATTATAACCTTGGACACTGGATCAACAGACACATAAGCCAAACCTGGAATGAGAAAGGACCGCTAATATCCAAAAGGGGCTTCCAGAATCCCCACCACAAGCTCAGCCCACACTGTGACAGCATAAAACTTGTTCCTTACTGGTGCTATTGACCAAAATGTTTGAGGATTCTTTTTGCTGAACAGGAACTAGGGAGGCAAATTAACCAGCTTGAAACTTTATTTTATAGATTCTATCTGTAAATGCAAGTATATTGTAACTCTCATCATTGTTGTTGCTATTGTTAGGCGTCAGCAAGTTGCCCTAGTAGGGTTTTCAAAGTACAGTATGTAAGATGTTCTGGGAATGATTGCCTATTGCCACCCCCAAGTCAGTTTCAATGGCTGAACGGGGATTTGAACCTAGGTCTCATGAGTCTTAATTTGACAATCTATCCACTACACTAGATTGGCTCTTGACCTAGCTGCTGAAAATCATGACCCAGCTGTTTGGGCCCAGAGATCATGATGATAACCAAGGATGCTAGAAGATGTTCAATACCTGCAATGTTCACAGAGGACACAAAGGCAGCAAGAACTGCAAGGCTCTGAGGCATATTTTCAGGGAGGTACTTTCCCCCCATCAGTGCCAGTCCGCCAACTGCAGTCAGTCCTATATTAAAAAAAGAACACAACAATCTTTAAGCTCTTGCACCCAGATATGTCACTAGGTGTTAGATACACACTCATTCCAGAAGTGACAGACACTGTCTGCAATAGACAATACCACCAGATCTGCACTGGACTATTTTGTTTTTAAAATAGCTATAACTCACATAATATGCTCCTGAGAACCATAATTTGTTCCTGTAACAGCCATAGAAAGCTAAATAAAATGCTATTTATGTAAATTATTTTCAACCCACCTTTCTCCTTAAAAAAGAGCGAAGGCAGCTTACAACAATGAAGATGGTATTTAAGGAGACTTGTGGCACAGTGGTTAAACTGCAGTACTGAACACCTTAATCGTCATCCTCATCATTTCTCAGACATGATTACATGAACAGCCTTTCCTTTACTACACTTTTTAAAAGTCAGCATATGCCTATAGTTGACCATCAGCCCAAACCTATAGCAAACACATTCTCTATTGGAAAAATCGGCCATACAGCCTGGTGGTAATAACAACAACTGTATTTAAACCCAATTACAGGGGACTAAGCTAAAACACCTGTCTTAGACTGCAGTAGCAGTAATTTTGCTGGTCTCTAAGATGCCATAGGAATCTCTCATCTTTCATAAGTATAATTAAAAACCCAACATTTAGGTGAATACATTGATGGCAGTGCAGGAGCATTCAGAACAAGCAGTTATAATTATTCCTGATTGTCTACTATACACATAGAGTCAATAATGCATTTGTATCAGTCATGCATTTGCATACAGTATTTATCTGCAAAATGCTCCTTTTCCATTCAAAATGGCAATGCCCATGTCCACATCGAAACTGAAAGTGGCCAGTACTCTACCTGAGATGGCATTAGTCACGGACATGAGTGGTGAATGGAGAGCAGGAGTCACACCCCACACAGTGTGATACCCAACAATCCCGGCCAAGCCAAATGTTGTCACCATCTGAGTGAATGCTGAATTTGGAGCTGCAACACCCAGCCCAAGCAAACTAGCAAGTCCTATAAAACAAGAGAACAGTAATTAATGACAATATACATGACACTATAGGAAAATGTGCTCCAAGAAAGAAAGGTTCAGCTTGGGTTCATTTTTGAACTCTATACAGAATAATATCCTAAACATGTGCCTTGACTATTGTATCAATATCCCAATGTTCAGTGGAGCTCTCACTGAAAGAAAGTCAATGTAGAATAGGCAGGATGGACTGATGTTAAAGGTTTTCAAAGAGGTGAGCCCCTCAATCTGTCTCAGCATGTTTATAAAATTAATGGAGAAAATATACACAAATTAAGAAAGAGAAACCAAGGAGAAAATATTGTGGTGCCTTAAAGACTAAAGCTCACACTGAAACAAAACTATTCGTCTTTAAGGTGTCATATCATATTTTATTTTATTTTCCTTCTTTTCATTTTTCTCCTTTATAATTTTTGCCAAGAAGTGTTAAGGAGAATGTGTTTGCTCCCGGCCCCCTGAACAACAGGTATACTGTCAAGATATAAGGAGCAACACCTCCCATGAAGACTTCAGTGTGCAATGGACCTTACACAATTCTGAAGGGTACAAAGGGTTTAAAAAAAAAACGAGGGCCCTTGCCTTGCACCAAAAGGCGCAGAGTGGGTAGAACTTGAAATTTCACAGGGCAGAAGGATTCAAGCTATAACTCCCAATATCTTTACAGCTTGAATCCTTTTAGGGTGCAGGCTCCACTGAGAGGCCAGAGTATTAAAACCGTTTCTCACCTGCTGTGTAGGCAGAAGCAGTAGTCATAGTTTTCCTAAAAGGTGTAATAGTGGCTGCTTTTTCTGCTTCCAGCTCTGCCACTGTCTTCTGCTTCACGGGCGCTCCTTGAGGGATGTTCTTTGGAGGTGGTGCTGGGAAAATCACCTTTCCATCCTGACAAAATATAATTATGGATCTATTCAACAGATGAGTAGGACTTATGCCAGTGATCCACAACACAACACCACGTGGACCAAACAAGGCCCCCCAAAAATACAGTACAACCCCCATATCCAATGACTTGTTTTCCATGGTTTCAGTTATCCATGGTTTACTCTTAATTATTCATTTTGGCCATTGTAAGGCCACATAAACAGCTCCTAGTTTGAGAGCTAGTTCAGGAATTTGCTGTTGCCTCCTCCTCCTCCTCTTGCTGTTGTTGCTGCTGATGTTTGCAGTGCCTCCGTTTCACCCTCCACCCTCCAATGAGCTCCTACTTCATCAACCGAGTACAAAGTGGCAGTGGTGGCAGCAGGAAGAGGCGAGCCACCCATCAATCCCACTTACTACAACTACAGTGGGGTCTCGACTTAAGAACTTAATCCGTATTGGAAGGTGGTTCTCAAGTCGAAAAGTTCTTAAGTCGAATCTCCATTTCCCATAGGAATGCATTGAAAACCATTTAATCCGTATCTGCTCTTTTCTGTCCATAGAAACTAATCGGAAGCTGCTATTCTACCTTCTGCCACTAGAGGGGGATATTTTCTTTCTTTTTCCCCCTTAGGTTCAGGGAAGGCAGGGAACACTAAAGGCAGCACTTTAGAACTCTTTTTTTAAAACGAAGCCAATTTTAAATAATGTTTTAAAGCATGTTGTGCTGATTTTTTCCGCACAAAGGCACTCAGGCAGGCTTTTTAGGTGCTGAGCAAGCCTCCGGAAGCCTGCTCAGAGCCAGCCGATCAGCTGTTAGGCGGGGAGAGGAGCGGGGAAAACCACAAAATGGCTGCCAGGCTCTTTCTGGGTGTCGGCTTTTAGCTCTTTCCTGCTCTTTTTCCTGTGGTTTGGGGGCTACCAAGGCCTGGTAAGTGACTTTACTTAACAGTACAGTATTTATTTTTAAGTTTCTGACCCTTGCCCCCCCTCCAGAAGCCTCTAAGGGGAGGGAGGGGGGACTTTTTCCCCTGTTCCTAACTCGAGGGAAGTTCGCATGTCGAGTCCTTACTTCCCTATAGGGCAGGTTCGTAACTCGAATTGTTCGCAAGTCGGGTCGTTCGTAAGTCGAGACCCCACTGTATCACTTTGTTCCCATACCACTGCCACTGTCACCCTGCTCTACAGAAAGTGCTGCAGCTGCAGTATCTATAAGGTTGGCTAGTGTAAGCTGTCCCAAGTAGACGTTGTCTAGAGGGGCGGGGTAAAATTGAATAAACAAACAAACAAATAAATAAATAGTGTCTGTGGTTTCAGGTATCTGCTGTAGATCTGAAACATATCACCCACAGATATGGCAGGGGGGGACTCCTGTACTTTCTCCCCTTGTGCATTTATTCAAAAGTTAAACAAGAACATGAAATGAGTGACACCATGGATTTACAGTGGTTTATACTTGGAGAGGGAGCAGTGAATAGCTAGCCTGAACTTTCTGAAGTCCCCTAAAAACAGACTTCCAATGAATCTAGTTGCTGACTATGAATTTTACACTAGTGAGAGCTATTCACCAGTGTTAACACAAGTAAGAATCAACAGAACCAAAGTAATTATGTTCATGGCAATAACTTGTCTTTCCAGGATAACTTAAGACATCTGTGAGCTTCCACAGAAAGACCTACAACTTTTGGGCCAGCATGCAGATCCGTGGAGAGCAGATTAAGGCATTCAGGAGTTTGGGTACCCCTATTTCCATCTAACAGACAATGGAGGAGAGTTCTTACACACTAAAGCTCACCCCACCATGAGGATAACTTCTCAGATTTCTCCCCCAAGCTTTCCAAAAAGTGGCACACAGCAAAGAAGAATCAAAAAGGAATGCTTTCTCCCCACCTGGAGGGAGAAATCAACAACAACAACAAAAGACTACTGTTCTATCCATTCACAAGAGGAGTGGGATGCTCTGGTCTATTAACAATGGGGTGGGGAACCCCTAAGGGACACTATACCCACACAGCTCCAATCTCCTGGAGCAACCGCAAAATTAATAAGCATTCCTGGGCATCCTGTCACTACCACTGCCACTAATCCCAACTGACAAGGAAGATTCTCTGCTATGCAACAGGACTCTTTCCAATACAGGGTGAGACAACATCTATGCCTCCCTGAGCAGGAAGAAAGTTGAGATGCACACTGGGGCAGGGGGGTTTCATAATTTTTTTCCCATTTAAAAGGGGCTATCATATGCCAGCATCACAATATCTGCATGCAACAGCTAACCTGGCTCTTGCAATTCAACAGGCTTGGCTCTTCTCTAGCCTGAAGGCCTAAATTGGTTGAAGGATGCAGGATTGTATGAACAACACTGAAAAATTGTAGAAACTTTGGTTTTCCTTTAAGACTTTACAACTCTTAGAATCCTCTGCCCAGCATAGCTATTAGAGACTTCTGAAAATTTTAGTTAAAAACAAAAACACATTTCCCCTAACTTTGAAAATACAGAGTCCCTTGTGTATTCTAGTTCCAGTTCTATGAAGACCACTCAAATTGAGAAACTATCAAAGCTGGCTGTAAGGCAGATTGCATAAAAGAAAAATTACACTTCCAACCTAAGGAGACAAAATGTATGTTTACCCACCTTCATTACCACTGTTCCTCTAACAACATGGTCCAGAGTACCATAGTCAAATTCATCCTTTAGGTCAAAGTAGAACTTCTCTTTATCCGGGCTGATGGCCTTTAAGAGCTTAGTGATGTTGTTGGAATACAGAGTGCTGGCTTGAGTAGCCATTCTGCTGGGAAGGTCTGTGTAACCTATGTGTGTGATTCCCTATGGGTGCCAAAAATATAAATTCGTGATTAAGTAAGATGACACACAACTCATTTAAAAAAACCAACAAAAAATCCCATTCCTATGTATCAATATCCTAGAGAAATAATAAATGGCGGTGTTATCAAAATAATAAATTTCCAACTAATTCTGTGGAAAGTAGGGCATAAATGTTATCTTTTGGGCATGATTTAATGGTTTACTTCTACAATATACAGCTGCTTCCTCTAGAATTGGTACAGAAAAGACCCTACCCTCCAGATGCCCCCCAATCAGCCTTAAAAACTGCTCTGTAGGATTAAGAAACGAAGGTGGTAGGCACAGTTGCAATGGGAAAAAGAAGGGGGAAAGCCTGGTGTTGGATACCAGATTATACTATTGAATCGTGGTCATATATACATACAAATATGTATATAGAGATTTTCTATATGCAACATGATTTCTTTGAAGCAGGTCTCCTAAAAAAATGTAAAAAAAACTTTTGAAGTATTTTAAAGGGAGTTATGAATCAGCTACCTGTTTTCTTGGAAGTGTTATCTACTGAATTTTAACGTGTCTATTTAAAGCACTTTCCCCCTTTACAGCTTAGTCTTGCCTGTTTATATAGGTTAGAACAAGGAACCCAAAATATATGAACATACAGCCCGCTATCAATTTACATTGAAGAAACATGGGTTCATAGCCATGCTCCACTCGTTCTAATGAAAATGTCCAGCTACTGACATTCACATCAATTACACAAGCATATAATTATGTAATCCAATATTCTTAATTCTAAATTACTTGGGAAAAGGAATGCTTAAAATTAGAAGTAGATAACAGATGTGCAGGGACAATCTGAACAAGGCTTGCGGGGGGATTATAATTCCCAGAATCCCTAAACCAAAATGGCCAGTGGTGATGACAATAGGGGGATTCTAGGAATAGCAGTATTTTAAATAGCAGCTTTTCCAAAATCTGTATCCAGGTTACAGCTTTCCCATTCTAAGCTAATAAAACTATGTGCAGGCATTACGACAAAAGTACCTTGTAAACGTAGAGTTCCCCTGGCTTTGTGGTTTCAATGTTTCCTCCTGCTTCAGAAGCCAGATCTACAACAACAGAGCCTTCTTTCATGAGCTCAATCATGTCTTTCCGAAACAATATTGGAGCTTTTTTACCTATAAAGTAAATTGGGAAATTACAAAACCATCAAATGTTGAACATGAGATCCTTCCAAGATCTCATAATATCCTGATATAATGGTGGTCTTAACATTTATATTATCAGTCCTGCTGCCTTGCTTTTACAGTGGACCCTTGACTTACAGAATTAATCCATATTGGAACAGTGGCTGCAGGTCATAAAATCTGTAGGTCAAGTCTCCATTGAGCTACAGTGCATTGAAAACCGATTCATCCCGTAACGGGCCATTTTTGTTCCATTTTGGTTTTTTTCTGGTCTGTTAAGTCAAATCTCAGTCTGCAAGTCAAATCTAAATTTTGCGGCCAGAGAAGTCTGTAATTCAAAAAGTCTGTAAGTCAAGCCGTCTGTAAGTCAAGGGTCCATTGTATATCATTTTAATCATTATCAGTTAAATTTTGTTGTGTTTGTGTCTAACTTTGATTTTATAACTATTATGTTTATTGTTTTAAATTGTTGTTTGATTATATGTCTGTTTAATGTGTAAACTGCCCAGAGTGGCTTTGGCACTACGTGATGGGGCAGTACACAAGTCAAACAAACAAACACACCTCTCAGAACCAAGCACTGCTGATGTTTTATTTTAAACATTTTTTTAAGTCTGTAGCTAAAGGACCACATGCTATTTCAGCTCTGTGCATGCATTTTCATACACCATAAACCCATTTTATTCAACTGATCTCATGTCTGCCCATTCAGTGGAACCAGGTATCTTGGAACAGAATAAAGCCCTTCCCATGTGGTTCCTCTACTAAGACTGCAGCAAAGCAGCATGGGAAAAATGAAGAGCTGCCCACTCCCTGAGAGGTGGTTGCTTGGTGCCAAAATTACAAATACAAAACGAAAAAGCAAATGTAGAAAAATAGACTTCTTTAGCCAAAACTACTCTGATTTTACATGAACTATCTAACGGCCTCCATTTGGGAATGCTGTTAAGGCCAACCAATGTTTATACCAAAAGATAGGATTACAGCTTTGGCAAAAACTTGAGCTAACTTTCCCCAACTTGGCACTCTGAGCTAGTCTATAACTTCTGTACTCCTCCAGTTGGCCTAGTTTGTAGGCACAAGTGAGGGAAGGCTGTTTCAAGGTTTTTACCACAAAACACCTGCATGTGTTCCTAGTACAATCCCTACAAGGCAGCTTCCACTAGGGAGTAAAACAAATGGAACAATGGACCAAGTAACGGCTTTGCTCTTTGCTGAATAAGACATTCCATTGGCTCAGGTTGAAATGAAACATTGAGAAGTGTAAAGGGAGATGTTTCAAACACTAAAGTGCGAGGCAAACATTATATTTGCTGAATTGCAAAATGTCAGCTTTTCACTTATTATCTCAAACTTTAAAAAAAATTATCAGACAAAATCATGGAAAATAGATTTATTAGGGGCTATTTGACACAGAAGGTAAATGCAGCAAATGTGTCAGCAAATAAGAGCTAGTGAAGAGCACTTTATTTCCTTAATGCTCCACTTACAAGCTTCCCAAAGATGTCTGGTTGGCCACTGTAAAAAACGGGATGCAAGACTGGATGGACTTTTGGTGTGGTCCAAGGAAGTTTCTTAACCTTCATGGACCAGGAAGAAAAAACATGCACTGAGTGACTTTGGGGGTGTTTCCTAACACCACTTGAATTCTACTGTACTGAAGGATAGTAGTAGGATCAGCAGTGCAAACAGGGTCAGAACATGTATGTCACTTCTATGCCTTTGGGTCATGAAAAGGAGCATGGAACATTTTGTTGTCTTCAGGTGGGAATACTGTGCAATACCTACCTTGTAGGTCTACATCTATGTGAATTTAACAAGCAAATGGGATTCAAGGAGGACTAGAATACCCCATTGCTGGTTCACAAAGGTTAATTTATTGGCTACTATTTCAAAACTGCCTTTTGCACACTTCTATAAGAGTGAGTTCCAAAAATTAATAGAAATATGTCATTGGAAATACATTACAGATGAAAATAGCATGCCTGTCCAATTGAAAACATACCAGGTATAAGTGCTGTTGTGATAATAATATCAACTTCCTGGCATTGTTTGGCAAAGAGTTTCATTTCAGCTTCAATGAACTCTTTTGACATTTCTTTTGCATATCCTCCCTGACCTTCCCCAGATTCTTTTAAATCAACCTCCAAGGGCTCAGCACCAAGTGATTTGAATTGTTCCAATGCTGCAGCTCTGTAACACAGAAAAAACATTAGCTACAAATAGTTAGGACAGGGGAAAACAAACATATACCCAAAGAAAGAACAACATAATAAAAGCTGAATCAAAGAAATTATTTTTGGTGGATTCTTTGAGATAAGAAATCATTGTCATATCACAAAAAAGAACCTTGTAGAAGTTACTCCAGCAGTAACTTAAAATAGATTCAGGGGACCTATCCATGCAGAGACAATTTTATTGTGCGTGATTTCACACACACACCCAAAAAAATGGGGAAAATCCTACTAATTTGGCAGAACATGGAATTTTCAGGCAGCCAAGGTCTCAGTTAAAAGTCATTAACTGCTGTGTGAAAAACCATAACTGTTCTTAACAATGAGTAACTTTACATTTTCATTTAGCGAAATTACAATATTCTTAAGGCTTTAAGCACTACAACTGGTATTAGGTACCTTTACATTTTCATTTAGCGAAATTAAGGCTTTAAGCACTACAACTGGTATTAATCAATCCAGTTAGAGGCTTAGAGTTGTATAGAACTGTGGTATGGTGTGCAATAAACTTCTCCAACCCAGCATCTCCTAGACATATTGGAGTACAACTCCCATCACATCTAGCAAACATGCCCAGTAATGAGGGCTGTAATCCAAGTGTCAGATTAGGGGAAACTGTGGAATAAATTATTAAAATGGGGCTTAATCTTTTAATGATGCATTTTGGTGCAACCCAGAGAAAGCCAATACAGGTGCCTTAAAGGTCAGAGAGCTGGTGTGCTATGGTAGCGCTCAGCTACAAAGCTCACTTCCATTAGCCACAAACTTTCTGGCTAGCAGCCAAGTTGTTCTGAGGATCAGATGAAGGCAACACCATGTATGTTGCCCTTCACTGAAGGATGAAACACAAATGAAACAATAACACTGATAGTAACATGATGTTCATGCACATACCTGGTATCAAACCCACGAACAACAGCTCCCATGGATTTAGCTGCTCCTGCAGATGCTAACCCAGCAACACCACCTCCAATGATCAGAACCTGTGATCCAATACAACATATTACAATTAAGTCATATATTATATAGTATTTTAAACTGTGTTTTATAGTCTTATCTGTTGTGAGCTGCCTTGGGTCCCCTACAGTGAGAAGGACAATAGCTAGATAGCTAGACAGAATAGGCAGACAGACACACACATACACAGACATCAACTGACAGTTTACTCTGAACATTTTGAACATCCCCCAAGCTGAGTCTACCTGGATGCTTTACACACAAGAAATGTCTTTCCAAAGAAGGAGTCAAACAATCAGTAGCATCACACTTCATCCAGAAGGGTTCTAACAAAATAACTTGCCTTTCCATAGGGTTTTTACTGGAGAACAGGAACTACTGTATCAAGTTGTGGTATCATGTTGTGAGAGTGCAAGGAATGGGAGAAGAAGGTGCGATATCATCTGTGAGAGTGCAAAGAGTAGAGGAAACTGCTAAGATGAATTGCCTCAACCCCTATGTGTTTAGCATCTTTTGGAATGCCATTCTGATTTTATTAGCATACACTGTCTGGTAATCTTTCTAAATGAATGAATATTCTATTGCTCTCTAAAATTTGAGCTCAATGTTTCTTCATAAACCAGAATCGGATATAACTTTTCTTTCTTTCTTTTTCTTTCTTTCCTTTAAAAGAAATATTCAAAAATAAAATGCATGCACACTACAGCACATGAACATAGTATCCTTTAAATACACTGGGCTTAATCCTTTCCCACTTTTAACAAGAGGGCAATTCAAGATACATGTACATGTACTGTAGCATCCACGCCTCTTGTTACATAAATATTTTGTGCCATGTCTATAGAATGGCTTTGGCTAAAGCCTGAAGTACAATCAAAGGGGTAAATTATTCTATGAAACAGAATTCCAACCAACAGTTATTATAGGCAAGAACAACACTTTTTACCTACCCATGTCTATGACATACCTTAGCTGGAGGAACTTTGCCAGCCGCTGTGATCTGACCCGTGAAAAAGCGACCAAAGTGATTGGCTGCAAGCACAACTGCCTTGTAGCTGTCAGGAAAAAAACACAAGAGAGAACAGAAGTATCAGCACAGTTTCTCAACCTCACATTTCCCCAGAGGAAGAAGATACAGGCACCTGTACCCTTTGACAGAATCAGTGTAGCATAGTGAGCAGAGCATTGGACTACAACTCAGAGGAGACTTGGGTCCAAATCCCTGCTTAGCCATGAAAACTCACCAGGCAATGACAAATCACCTGTTGGATATCACACATGCTTTAAAACCCCAACCAGAATAATCGGAAGCAACCTGACAGTATACAACAAATATGTATACTTTGTAAATACAGTGTCAGCAGATAAACTTATTTATTGAAATAAGTTCTATCTTGCATTTCTTCCAGTGAGTCTCAAGGAGCCATAAACAGCTCTTCTCCCTATTTTATCCCCATAACCACCTCATGATGTAGGTAAAGTTGAGAAACAGCGATTCTTAGCTCATGAGTTTCACATCTTGGGGATTTGAACCTTGCCACTCAAGTTTTAGCCCAATGCTCTAACCACTAAACACACTCCCTATTTAACACCTGTCTCTACCTCCACAACTATAGCCCCTGCACCTTGCCATAATAGCACTGTATATGGTTGTGAGAGACCTCGTTACTGAAGTGAGTACAGTCACTAAGCACTGGCAAACAAGACTAACTCTGAACATGTTGCTGATTGGAGAGGCAGAGGTAATGAAGAAAACTAGGAAGCACACCAGAGCTCCTGTTCATGGACATCTTCAA